TGGCGGCCAGGTGTTTTCTCCGGCTTTCTTTGTTGAGTCGCCTGATGGTCTCGGCCTCGTCGTTGCTCACCGTCAGGGGAAACCCCTCGAAGAAATCTCTCTCTTTGAAACAGGGGGGTAAGTCGAAGGCCCTCGCAGCTACAGACTCGTCGCCAACCTAACCTATTATCTGCCCGACTTCTCTTTCTCGTAATCAGCTCAGTGGGCTGCTCAGCATCAGGGGAGCCCGGGGACCCACTAGAGGCATCGCCCGAAATGGTCAGCGGGCCCATCCTCGTGGCTTGCGGAGCTCGCACCAGCCTTTTGTTTACTCTCTTGTCCTGAGTCAGTTTCAACAGCCTCTCCCTTCATTCAGCCATGTCGCCTGCAAAGAAGAGCAAAACTCGGGTTAGTTACGAGCAAGCAAAAAACAACGAAAATGGAATAAAACAACAAAACAAAAGCAAGAAACCTAGTAGATCTATGACCTGCCCGTAAGATTGGCACTCGACGAGCGATTTGGTGTCGATGGGACGGGCCTCAAATGTCAGGTACCCATCCTCGTCAAGAATATCTTCCCCCTCCCTCGTGACCCACCGGGCAGGGAAGAAGCTGTCGACATACTTGCAAAGGATACCATAGGCTTCTTCATCCTCGGCACTCATGCTTCCCGCGGGCATATGATAATACCCCGTACCATGGTCGTAGTGGCCCGAGCACCAATGTAACGGGAACTTGGATACGCGCCCCATTGTCGGACGACCCTCGGCGTCCATGAGGGGCTCCTTGTCCTCGTAGACTACCGCAGTTTCCGCTTCGTACATGGAATCCAAGGCAGTCTGGGTGACCGGATGCATAACGTACCACTTGTCCTTGAAGCCCCGGACCGAATCCATATACATCCTGAACAACCTCTTCGACTGTTTTAGGGAAACCCAGCTATGCCTGCCTCCTCGAGACTGGCGCTGAAGGTGAAAAACCCTGAAGAAAAGGGGAATGGTCACCCCGATCCTCAAGAAACGGCATGTCAGCTCGAACGCCTGAAGGAAGGCGATCGAATTAGGATGAAGCTGCGAAGGGGCCAAGTTCAGATGGCAGAACACCCCGGCTTGGAAATCACTGAAAGGGAGCTTAAGACCGAGATCCCTAAACACGATCTCGTACATTGGAAACCCATACTCGGTGAACTCCGAGCAGATTCGTGCATCGATGGACGACCTCGTCACAACAAAATTCTTCTGGAAACCTGGCTGGCTACCGTCGTGTTCCACGACAGTATATGCGCGCCGACTACGCCGACAGTACGTCGAGGCAATCCCTTGGGGCTCGACGCCCACCCAATCCAACGAGGGGTCATCGACGGTATCAACTAAAGTCGCGTTCTCTTCGGCACTTTGGTCCTCGACTTCATTTTGCCTCAAAGATTCCGGTTCGTCGACCATTTACCTGCAAAGCACGGGAAACCGGTGAAATTCGAGAGCAAATTCGCATGCTCGTCACAGTGACGGGAAGTAGTGCGCGACAAGCCGAACGCGGACACCCCAGCTCGACCAGGCGTCGGGAACAACAAGAGAATAGCATGAACACCCCGGGGGATAAACATGACTCAAACAAGGTCCTGACTTTGCCTGCCCGACACTAAGATGCTACGACGAGTTTCCTTACATACTTCCTAAGGGGTCAACATCCCGGCCAGCTCATGGGTGCGCCGACCAAAACTATGAAGGTGACGGGCAATATCGTAGATCATATGCATAGAACTACGAATGTCACGGGAAGTATCATAGATTATGCGCCTAAAACTATGAAGGTCACGGGAAGCATCGCGAGTCACGTACCTAAAACTATGGATGTACCGGGCATAATCATGAATCTACCGGGCACTACTCCCAGATACGGGTTTCTAACATCCAAATAACACCAAAACTACCTACGACGGAGAAAAACAGGAGGAATGAACACTTACTTGGAAAAAAAGAAGAATGTACGGCAACGATGAGAGTAGTCAACGGAGGATGGTGCGGTAATCTCACGGTGTTGCAGAAAAGACGGCGGCGGTGGAAGCAGAGGAAGAAGGAGAAGCGCGAAGAAGAAAAAAAAATTATGGGACCCAAGGATCCTATTTATACGGATGACGTGGAATACGAAAGTCGCCCCGGGGAGCCACAAACTTCCCCTCCTCGACATCTACTCCCCTAGGCAATGATGACCCTATTGTCGCTAGGGCGGCGTCACGGTTCCCAAGGATTTCCTCGTATATCCAACAAACATAGCCCGCGAGGAATTCCCTCAGCACGCGTCGAAGAGGATTACGCTACGAACGCAACCCGTGAGAAACTCCTCGAGCACGCATCAGAAAGCAATATCCTGGTCCGGGCATCAGATCCCCCGTGGTAAAGGCGAGCTGAAATCAAGTCATAACTCCTGCTCCAGGAGCAACGACTTGGGGGGCTCCTGTTCTGGGTTAGACCCACCCTGGCCCAAAGCACAGATAAAGGCCCAATCCAAGCAAACTCCTCGAGGAATGTGCGCCCGCGGATCACCGTCGACGTACCCGACCACAGACTGTAGCCATGCCTGCCATTTCCCGCGACACATAGCGTCCCCGACCAAGGGAACTCCAGCTCGAGTCCTGCTCGAGCACTCTCCCCGTAGGACAGATTTTGTCCTCTCTGACCGTTATCGAATCATCTAAACTCCGGAAAGACCGCGTCTTCGTCCCTCCTCATTCTTCGCAAAGCATCACCAGGAAGGGGACCACGTGCAGTGCCCCACTACGCACGTAGAACCTGGAAGTTCCTTTATTGGGCCGGTTCTGGTCAGCCCAATGAGGGGACCTTGGCCCAGCGCTGGGGGCTATAAATACCCTCTGTTCCTAGAGGGTCGGGTATCCATCTATTACACACTTATACATTTTTGCCTGCTCATTCTGTTACTCATTTTAACATCGGAGTGTCTTGCAGGTACCCCCCCTCCCATCTCACTCAAATTCTGCCTGAGTCAATCGTGACGGTCCAAGTCTGATCCGGTAAGATCAGTTGCTTTGGTATGGTTTCTCTGATTTGATACATTTTCTTCGTGTTGGTTTCCTCTACTAGTTGAATTGTTGTAGCCACTTTTACCTTTGTTGTCGAACCACTCTCCCTTGCCTTTCTTGTCTTTGATTGTGCCTGCAAAGCCACATCACTCTTCGACTTGCCTGCAGCTCTTGCAGCCATTCTTTGTTCGTGAGATTCAAGCGTCCCTTGAAGTTCTTCCTTCAACAAAGATGGCATGGAATTCGACTCTTCTATGGCAACTACCACATGGTCGAACTTCGGAGCCACAGATCTTAAGATCTTCGAAACAACGACTCTTATTGTTAACGTCTCTCCACAATTCTTGATTTGATTCACTAGTTTCGTAACCCTAGTGAAGAAATCAGATATGCTCTCACTATCTTCCATCTGAAGCAATTCATAGGTTCTTTTGTAAGTTTGTAACCTCACCTCTTTCACCTTTTGAGTGCCTCCAAACGATTTTTTGAGAATCTCTCAAGCTTCTTTTGCAGATTCTACATCACTAATCTTTTCGAAATTGTCTGGGCTAACACATTGATGAGTTATGAAGAGAGCTTTATAATTCTTCTTCTTCGATTCCTTGTATTCTGTTTCTTCTTCCTCTGAAGCATCGTCATCAAGTGATTTTAATCCATATTTCACAAGATCCCAAAGACCTTGAAAATAAAATATAACATTCATCTGCTTCGATCGCTCTTCCCTTGAATCACTCAAGTGGAGCTCTTGACATAAGATATTGAAAATCGACCAAATATCTATGACGAATTTCTATCAATCTTGATGAACAAAATTCATATCACCACACAACAACATTGAATTATATGAAAAGAAAAGAAAGAAGACAATTAATTTCTAACTACAAATTGTGATTACAATGAATTGACTTGATTGCAAAAATAGAAATTACTCCCTTTATTTATAGATTAAGTTATTTGCTCCTTAAGTCAAAAGCCAAAAACTATAAAACTCAAAATACATATTTTAGAACTAAATCAAATCTATTTCATAATATAAAATCAAATTTGTGTACTTCTACTATGAATTATGTTAGACTACAAATATACATATCCGAAATAAATTTAATAATTCACATTCGTAGTTCGTTCAAAGATGCACTTTCAAATTTTAGAGATACTTTGAAGAAGTGCAGAAGGTATAGAAAGAAATTCTCTCACCATATTGTTCTAAAAAAATTAGTGGCAGTAAAAACAATATGATATGGGGATGAAGCATATCTTTATAGACAAAAAAACACAAGTCAAATGCGCATTCTGCATAAACGTTTCTCCAAGTTTCAATTCATCATTTAAAATACAAATACTTCAAAAAACACACTTCTTGAAATTCCAAATCATAATTTAAAATTCAAATATTTAAAAAAAAAATCATAATTTAAAACTCAAATACTTCAAAAAAAAAACACTTCTTGAAATTCCAATTCGTAATTTAAAATCCAAATACTTAAAAAAAATCATAATTTAAAATTCAAATACTTCAAAAACACACATGGCCAGGTTCCAATTCATAATTTAAAATTCAATTACCTCAAAAACGCACTAGCAATACTAGAAGCAGAATAATATTTGGATTTCTGTTGCAACCCAACTATCTCATTTGGCTAAATCAACCAAAAGAAATGCATAGCCTTGCCATTCAAGGTAAGCTACACAAGAGGCCAACAAAAACGGTTCACTTCTTATCTCCAAACTTTCGATACATATATAAACCAGAAACGCATGAAATCTACATAAGCCTCACAACAAAAAGCTTGTTCCATATTACAAACAAAAATGTGTTCCTGAACATCAAGCTGATATGTAGATGACAGTTTCAAACTGCCTTTGAAGGGTACCAAAATCTCACACCATACAATCCCAAGTATTTTCAACATATATATACAAGATAATTTTATTTATGCACATTGAAGGAAATAGGATAAAGCAAGCATTCAAGAAATTTTACTCATTGTGCTTCCGCCACTGAGTAATGCATTTCTGTAACTGATTTCTTCAAGAAACTGGCTCCGCAATTTGAATCCTGGCTACAAACATCAAGAGAGTCAAAATCAGAAGAACCTTCAATAACTTGAGAATCCGGCAACTGATGGCACAGATCAGATTGTTTGCCAAGGTTGCAAGACTGTTTCTTATCTTTGCCACTTCCCCCTCGGGCTGAATTTCCCTTGTTACCTTTCTTCAAATTTCTCTTCTCATTCTTCTTCTTCTTGGATTTCGTCTGTTTCTTGTTTTTGACAGTATGAGACACTAAAGTAGGTATTGGATCATACACATCAGCAGCCCATTTCACTGTCAATTTCACATGTCCTTCTCCGTTTTTATCACGACTACCTTTCATGGCAGATTTAAGTTCAGAAGGGGCCTGTGATGTAAATCGCGTAAAAAAGAAAACCGTTAAACATAAATGCATTTGCAAAGACAAAATAAAGACGAGTCCCGTAGAGACAGAACCAAATCTTCATTCCAAATATCAAAAAGCATAATTGCTTGCAAACTATAACATAAACATTATTAACACTAACATTGTAACATAGTAAGAAACTTACAGGCAGAGATATTGAACGAGAGTAAGTTTGATGGGCAGAATGCTCAGAAGGTGATTCTGTAACAGGTGCTGCATCCTCATCAGACTTGCTTGAAGGCAACGTCACACGAGGAGTTGGAAAGGTTGCCGATTTTTTCAAAGACACCTTGTTGAGTTTTGCTTCTTTCAGTTTAATAACTTCACATAAGTTTTCCTCGGCTACATTGCACATCTCATTCCCCTTAGACGCATGCTCCAATTCGTCAGCATCTTGTACACGTAACGACTCACTAAACGTGCTTTCAAGACTATTTATGCAGTTCTCGTGCTTGCCATTAACAGAAGAACACACTTCCATCGAATATATCAACCTATTAGGTACTAAAACTATTCTGCATTAAAATGATTATTCAATAGACATATAAATCTGTAATATTAGAACATCAATATATAAAACAGAAACTCAAGCAAAATTTACATGATATAAAGTTGCACATAATATCTAAATGATTATATCAATAAATCATGACATGCAAATGCCTAACAAGCACCATTCCAGCATCCATGATCATTTTTCTTAATCAGCAATCATAGTTGGTAGCTAAATGATAACACTATTACTATGAGTCAGATCTGATAATAACTAAGAAATTTTTTTAAACATGATTGCACAAGAAAAATACCTTAAAAAACGAAGTTTGAAGCTCTAGCCCTCTCCAAACAGGAACAAAACAAGAAAATCACTAGATCACTAATTCTTCAAACGATCAACTAGTAGCTCGAGTAGCTCGACTATGGCAGAAACAACAACAGCAACAGCAACTAGGATAATAATATGAAACCGAAAAGCAAAAAATGGACAGTAAAACAAACGAAAACCCTTGTGTTAACTAAGATTACCACGTCTATCACTTTTTTCAAGAGGTTTCAAACGATGAGATAAAGATCCATAATAAAAATTGGTAACAAAAGGAACCAAATGACGAAGAAGAAGTTCCATAGGCACCGAAGGCATTATTATATGCGCTTCGAAACCCTCCAAACAGTTTCACACCCAACAAAACGAAACAACGTTGAATCCAAAGGACACAAACTCAGGTAAATTAAAGGATTTGAAAAACCAAAACCTAATATAAACCAAAAACCTATGACATCAAAATGATTAAAACATGAACTCAACTTAGCCCATAAAAAAATCAAGATGAAAAATCAAGAAAATTGGTAGATCGGAAATAACACGTGATGGACACTGGATTAGGTTGTTGGAATCGGATAGGGTGGAAAATGGGTTTTTGTTGATTTTATAGGAAGGGATTCGAGAAGGTCAAGCGTCAAGTTGTTTGAAATTTTTATGTCTCTGAATCTCGGACGTACACGTTTCAGTTATCGACTCAATCAGAGATATTTTTTGGTCATGTTGTCCAACTGCAGCCCATCGGTATTTATGTAGTCTAGGCCCAATTCTTACTCCATATGGGGGCCATGTGTATTCTAAAGTTAAAACTAGGGGTTTGTTTTTCTAATTTTAATGGTGGAGAGACACTCTTTAAAAATAAAAAAATATTATTGACACAGTTTGGGAATTAACTTTCACACACTCCCTAATATACATCAAAATATTTTGTAATTGAGTCACTCTCATTTTATTAAAAATAATTTGAAAATCAATTTTCTGACTAACACCTAGACACATTTTGAAGTCATTACAATGTGTTTATTTCAGAATTCAATGAATAATTTGGAAGTTAACTTTCTTACTAATCTTCAGGACAATAAATTTCTCTTCTGAACAATAAGTTTGTTAAAATTTGACAGTAAATTTCTCTCATGGACAAGTTGGACTTATGGGGTTTCCGGGACAACAATAGGGGACACATGTCTCCATAAAAAGGATGTCAGAGACACTTGAACTCGAGAAAATGATGCTTTTGCATTAAATGAAGTAGCACCAATTGATGGAAGCGAGGGTCTGAATTTTTTCCTTTGAACTGAAACATGATGGGTCACTCTACCATGTCGCAATCTTGGTTGTTAGATATTTTACATTTAATTAAACTAGAAAAATCATATCATAATCAAATAAGTCAAACTCAAGGGATAGAACGGGCAAAATCAAACAAAATATGCATATCTAAAAAATATGAAAGTTAACTTTTGTACCACGTCCGAAAGTTAACTTTCGTACCAAACAAAACCAGAGAACACAGAAACGTAGAACCTACACTCTAAACTTGGGTGCATCTCAAAATTAAATTTCGAATTCTAATGGTATTTTAAGAATTCCATCGAGATTTGTGAGCACTACTAAGGGTGTAATGAGAAATCACCTAAAAATAATGTCTTGTCTTGATCCAAGTCTCGTAGATAAAAAACAAGGGTAAATTCTCATTACACCATGCATTTGTTCGTAGAGAACGTTCCAGATCCAAGTCAATTGTCTTAGTGGCATGGGTTTTAAGATTGATCTCAGTTTTAGTCTCAACCTCGGGCTCTTGGGCCAATATCTTTTTTCAGAGATCCCATCAAACATTATGTTGATGTTTCTTTATTTTGAGGACATTTTACTCGTGTATGGAATGATAAAATAAATTATTAATTGAATTTTTATGTATCATATATATATATATATATATATATATATATATATATATATATATATATATATATATATATATATATATATATATATATATATATATATATATATATATATATATATATATATATATTAAAATAAGTAATTTTTCAAGTTGTGTGACACATTAAAGTCTGTCTATCATGGCCGGAAGATATATAGGTTGAAACATCATAATGAAGCATGGTTTTAGGACGTATTGAGAATATTTAGTTTGAAAGATATAGTAAAAACATGTTATACGAATATAGTTCATGGATTTTTTACATCTTTTTTTAGAGATAACAAGTTGATACATCATTTACCATCTACGTAGACGACATGTCATGTCGGCTCCACCTTCCTATTAGTGGTCAAAATTTATATCATACTTTGATGTATAGTGTTGTACTCCAAAATTTATCCTCTTCATTTCAATCCTTTTTGGCTTATACTTCATTATCATATTCATACATACATATCATCGGTTATATGTTCATAGGATCAATGCACTTCTCTTAAGCTTCGTCAAGCTACGAAAGACGGTTGTTTCGTCTATCAATATAGTGAAGCATAAACTTAGGGTTTCAGAATTTAAATTCACTCAGTACACTTCCCTAGGATATTTAATCCGGGATTAATCAAGTCCTTATCATGCTAAGTTCCCATGTGTTCCAGCATGCCTTGAATTACAAATAAAATCAAGTGTTTCAGTTGATTTGAAACAGTTTAGGCCGAAAATCAGCATTTCACAGTCCGAGTTCAGAAATGCATAACTTTTGTGCAATTCATCATTTTTAGTGGGTCTTTGGGCATAAGAATATCCTTGACGTCCTTTCCATTTCATATGTTCGGGTCGGAAGCCAATTTTGTATAGAAGATCTCTGAAATTGCAAATACTTTGAGAATTATATGGTGAAGCGGATTTCCAGTCAACTGTTTCTCAAATATTGCAAAAATCACAACTTTCTCGATTTTCAACATTTCTGGACAATTCTCGCGGCACGATGTCACAAATTTTGTCATCTATAAATTTTCATCAGGATTCGGGTTCGAGTTATGCTCTGAAAGTTTAGGTTTATGGCTCACTTCTCAAATTGAACATGAAAATATGGTGAAAAAGTTGTGCAACCCAATTTTGACATGAAAAAAAGAGGGAAGTGTGACTCCAAAAACCATTTTTTTCTATTTCAAATTCCAAATATGACTTAAGCCACTCTATAAATTGTTTTTCTCTCAATTTCAAAAGGGATTCCATCATTTTTACAAAATCACTCTCAAATATTCAAGAAACTCTCAAGTGGAAAAAGCTCTTTCTCTCAAGTTTCGACGTGCTGAAACTCCGATCGATGCATCTCTCCTCACAGACGTTGACGAATGTGTGCCACCCCCTTCACCGTGTCGCACGCCGCTGGACCGCCCCTCCTTTTTCTAGACCGCCGCACCGCCTCCCTCCGTCTGCGACTCTTCCTTCGTTACGCACCTCTCTCCGTTTTCTTCTTCGATTAATTTTTCTTCATCTCTTTCGGTAAATCCTTAATCTCTCTTGGAATTAATTATTGTATTGAATTTTAATTGGTGAATTAATTGATATTGTGTTGAACTAGCATGAATATAATTTTTGGATTGTGGAAATTAAGTGATTCGTGTAAATCTTCATGTCGATGATGTTGATAATTATTGGAATCGGTTGATTACTTGAGTTATTTGTTTGGATCTCATGGATAATTGTTGATAATTATTGAGATTCATGTGTCGGTGTTTGATTTTGAGTTAATAATTGTGGATAATTATTGAAATTCATGTGTCGATGTTTGATTTCGAGTTGATTAATTATTGTTGACAATTGAATAATACTTGTTTCGATGCCTGGAAGTTATTGTATTGGTGCTAGTTTTATTGTTGCAATTTATTTGTGAATTCCAAGTGAAGTTTTAAGTGTCGGTATTTAATTTTACGCGTTCGAACGTGAATTTTCAATTGATTTTTGATGAATTCTGACACATGAAAAGTTGTTGCCCGGTATCCGCAAATGCACACCAACTGTGATTTAATTCTTTCTCAATTCATGTTTGGACTTAACTCGATAATTGTTTAATGTCGGTGTTGAATTTTGGTGGTTTTAAAGTGATTTTTGGAGGACTTTCATGAGTTGAAATGTTGTTATCTGGTAATTGTTTTTGCATGCAAATTGTGATTTAAATCTTGCTTGATTCATGATTGGGTTTAATTTGATGATTGCTTGATGTCGATGTTGAGTTTTGATGATTTTAAATTGACTTTTCGAGTATTTTCATGAACTAAGGGAGCGATTGACCACACCTTTGCTCACACTTAATCGATTAGTTAATTCTTGATTATTCAATTAAAGTCTTTATCCCACTTCTCTTTTGATTCAGATTTGTTTCTAACGAGTTTGAACCTAGATTCTCATTTCATGAGACTTGTGGATTGTCGTTGTTTTTCTGGACTTATATCTTATGCAGGACTATTATTTGGTGTTCGGATATGCTTGACGCACTTTCCGCTTGTGATTTATTTTCACATTGACGATGCTTTGACACTTATCATGTGCATTCGATTTCTAACTTTATTTTTATTGGTGAAGCTTACGCGAAGGTCTTCAGGTTTCTCACGCTTTATTGGCAAAGGCAACAAACCGTTCTCCGTTTGGTACCTTTTCTCATTTATCTTATTTTCGCATTGTCTTTTCGATTTCTTTGCCATGAGAAGTAGTAATAGAG